AATCCACACACACCGTCTACTTTTTCAGACATTCATGCCATCTTTTTTTCAGACATAGAATTCAGAGTCAAACTTAGACAGGTTTAAGGAGAGGCAGACAGTCTGGTCACATTTAGTACTTCTGGAGAAAATGCTCTTAGAACAAAACAAGTGTTTCCCAAAGACTGCCAGCAATATGCTAGATGACTCTGAATTTGTGTGAGCCAACATTTCCATTTTAATAGATATATACTTTAAAAATATGCATTAGATACACATTATGCTGATATGTATATATACTAAAAGGATCATTACTGTAATTACTTTTTAATTTTTAGAAATATCAAAAATATTTAACTGGACAAATAATGTTATAATAACTTATTTATCCATAATTAAATGCAGAATTTTGACAGTTCATTTATTTACTGGCTTGTTCCTTCAACAAATATTTATTGAGCGTATAATATGGGTCAGGTGCTGGTCGCAAATAAACTAACAAATATCACTGCTATTTCATAGCTAGCATTCTAGTGGGGAGAAACAGATGAAAATTTTAAAACACAAATAAATAACATATTATATTAAAAGATGATAGATACCATGGGAAAAAGAACACAGTAACAGAGAAAATGCCAATGGAGAGAAGGAATGAAATTTAAATTTTTTTTTGTTTTAACTAAAAATTATTACAAATGAAGCTGAAATCTCTGTTTTAAAAAATATTGTTTTACATTACATGCCTTTCTCTGGGAACATTCTCTTTACTGTGCCTAATTTTATTAATGTTCTGCTTAAGCCAGAGACAAATTTTCTTTTAAAGTAAATAAATAACAAATAATTAAAGTTAACAAAAATAAATATCACATAATTAAACATCTAAAGAAAAGTATTATTAAATAATGGTAATGTTGCAGGAAGGGGGACCCCTTCCAGGGCCCGAAACTGGGCTTTTGTCTAATACTCGGAAATGAATTGTCCGAGGAGACACATGTGCTGACAAAGCAAGTGATTTTATTGGGAAAGGGCACCCAGGTGGAGAGCAGGAGGGTAAGGGAACCCAGGAGAACTGCTCTGCCGCGTGGCTCGAAGTCTTGGGTTTTATGGTGATGGGATTAGTTTCCGGTGGTCTTTGACCAATCATTCTAATTCAGAGTCTTTCCTGGTGGCGCACGCATCGCTCAGCCAAGATGGATGCTATCGAGAGGGATTCTGGGAAGTGGACGGACATGCGGTGTCTCCTTTTGACCTTTCCCGAACTCTTCCGGCTGGGGGTGGCTTACTAGTTCCGTATTCCTTATCAGGATCTCCTGTCATAAAACACCTCATGCAGATGGTTACTATGGTGCCTGGCCAGGTTGGGCGGTTTCAATCAGTGTGCTTCCCCTAACAGTAACAGTGTAGCATGGATATGGCAAAAGAAAAAAAGGGAAGAATACTATTTGAGTGGGCTTCCCTGGTGACTCAGTGGAAAAGAATCCACTTGCCAGTGCAGTACATGTGTGTTCCATCTCTGGTTTGGGAAGGTTCCCCTGGAGCATGAAATGGCAACTCACTCCAGTATTCTGGCCTGGGAAAACCACGGACAGAGGAGGCTGGTGGGCTACAGTCCAAGGGGTCTCAAAAGAGTTGGACACGACTAAACAAAAACTGCTTGAGTTGTTAAATTATGGACTTATTTAAATAGGGAACACCAAACACTTTTCCCCTTCAATTGACTGTGTTGATAGGGAGAGAGAAAACTAGAGTCACTCACCACACCCAAGTCAGCTCTTGATACTCAAGATGAAATACTTCCTCACAAGGCCTATGGGGAGAATTTCATCAAACACATCTGAGCTTCTACAGTCTGCAGCTTTTTCTCTGCTTACCTACATGATCATTTCTGCGGAGATAGCAGATAAAATACAGAGAAGAATACAAAAGCTAGACTATAACAACCCATTATTTTATGCTACACAACTATACCTACGTGATGATGATGTCCAAGTGTGTGTAGACTGTGTGACTGTCGAGGCTCTGATGGGAGCAGGATGCCGGCATTCCCTCGAGGGGAAGGCAACGCCAAGTATTAAGGATGAGTTGCAACCTTTTCGGCAACCACCTAATTATCTTCAAGTCAGTTTTGTCAGAATAAGGGCCTGACATTTACTGTGAACCCAAGCAGGAAAAAGTCCTCTCCTATTTTAACATTAATTACTTAAGAATGAGTAACAAATAGTCATAATTAACATTTATTGAACATTTACTATGTGCTGCTGCTGCTGCTAGACATGTGCTAATGCTCCACATGCATCACCCTATTTGATTCCCATGATAAGGTTCTATGATGATTTCCATCTCACAGGTGAAGAAACATAGGTTCAGGGAAGTTAATTAACATGTTCCAAATTATATCAAAAGTCAGTCAAGCCCAGATTGTCTGACTGAAATTGGTACTAATCCTATGTGAATCTGTAAATAACCCTACGGGTTAAGAACAAAGGGTATCTCCAGGGTTTCCCTGGTAGCTCAGTGGTAAAGAATCCGCTTGCCAATGCAGGAGACATGGGTTTGATTCCTGATCAGGGAAGATCCCACATGCCATGCAGCAACTAAGCCTGTGTACCACAACTATTGAATCTGTGCTCTAGAGCCTGGGAGCTGCAACTACTGAGTCCGCGTGCTGCGACTACTGAATAAAGCCTGGCACCCTAGAGCCTGTGCTCCACAACAAGAGAAGCCACAGCAATGAGAAGCCCGTGCTTCCCAACTAGAGAGCAGCCCCCACTCACCACAACTAGGAAAAGCCTACATAGCAACCAAGATCCAGCACAGCCAAAAAATAAAAATAATTTAAAAATTTTTAAAAAGAGTATCTCTATCCACGGAGGAGTGGCAGAAAATGCAATGGTTGGAAGAGCAAATGCTAGTGATAGAAGTGTCAGAGTTTTCATTCTGGCTCTGCTGTGTATTAGCCATGTGGATTTGGGAAATTTATTTAACTCTTTTAAGACTTACAACATCCTAAATTGTCACGTTTTAGAGAACTTTTAATCTCTCAGAGACTTACTGTTTTTGCCATCGTCGTTGTCACCATAACCATCAACATCAACATCATAGCTATCATACATTGTTTTCTTGCCTTAATATTTTCCCATTCTGAAATTGCCATGCTATTCCTTCAACCTCTTGGATCAAGGAGTGGCTGCAATATTCCACTACCACTACTAATAATAGTAATAAGAGTAAACATTTATTGTATGCTTACTACACGCCAAGGGCTTTTAGTGCATTATCTCATTCGATCTTTACAACTACTGCCTGAGATAAATACTAGTGTCATTTATAATTTATAGTTAGAAACAGAATTCATCTAGAACACAACACTGCTGCTTTCACATCCTTTCTACCAACCGACCACCCAGACCACCAGCTGGCTTGGGACCTCCAAAAGGGCATCCTAGAAATAGCATGGAATTTCCTGCAGGAAATGGAACACTTCAGGAGTCTGACACTAAAAGGGTTTGGAATATCCACTGTCTGACAGCACTGGTTGCTCAAGGAATTTCAGTTTCCTCTGTTCTAACTTCCTTTGCCACAGGGGAAGCCAAACAGCTCCAGTTCCTCTTATGAGAGGGAGCTGGAAAAACAGTAAGACCAGTGACTCACCTAAGAGGAACAAGCAGAGAGCAGTGACAAGGAATCAGACTCACAAATTGCAAATTCCAGTCACTCATTTTCCTTGTTAACAACCTTGAGTGCCTTTCAGTAATAGATGCTATAAAACACAAATGTATTGGAGTGATAATAATCTCCTATTACATAATATAACTTTCTCCATATTTGCTATTATTTACTCAATGGCAAATTTAATACCATTTATTGGAAAACCATAGAAAATGGAAACAACAGTTAAGCTGTCTTGTATGATTCAGTCTAGATTTCGATTAAATTTAAATTATTCTCTTCCCATGGCTATACACCCTTGCCCCAATTTTAAAGACCTGAAGTCCAGGGTAGGAGAGACCAAGAGCATCCCGGCGAGCAGCAGCACGAATTCACTCCCCTCCAGCCCCCGCTGCTCCTTTCGCCCATCTCCCCTCCCCCTTAGCCTGGTCGCTTGCCATTGGTGGTTGCCATGACAACCGGCAGCTGCCAGGGCAGGCAGCCTCTACCGCAGCAGGGGTGGGGTTTCGGAGGAGGGGGCAGGAGAGGAGGAGCCAGAGGAGGTGTCTGCTGCAAGTTCCTGGCTGCTTCTGAGCTCACCCCATCCTCCGAGAGGGAGGAGGCCAAGTGGTGATGCTGCTGCTTCTGCCGCTTCGACTGCCGATACTCCGGTGAGGGCTGGGAGGGTGGTTCCTGTTAGCACCGTCGCCAACCAGAGAGGGAGGGGAAGAAATCCCGGCAGCCGCTGCTGATGTTGGCTTCGGAGGCTGCATCCGACTCGGTCTCAAGGAAAATGGATTCAGTTTGCATCTCTCCTTCCTTTCAACAGCTTCTCCGGATCTCAGCATGGTAAGTAGCAGGGAGCGAGGTTAGCTTCTTGATTTAGCTGAAGACTCACAAATTGCAAATTCCAGTCACTCATTTTCCTTGTTAACAACCTTGAGTGCCTTTCAGTAATAGATGCTATAAAACACAAATGTATTGGAGTGATAATAATCTCCTATTACATAATATAACTTTCTCCATATTTGCTATTATTTACTCAATGGCAAATTTAATACCATTTATTGGAAAACCATAGAAAATGAAAAAAACAGTTAAGCTGTCTTGTATGATTCAGTCTAGATTTCGATTAAATTTAAATTCTTCTCTTCCCATGGCTATACACCCTTGCCCCAATTTTAAAGACCTGAAGTCCAGGGTAGGAGAGACCAAGAGCATCCCGGCGGGCAGCAGCACGAATTCACTCCCCTCCAGCCCCCGCTGCTCCTTTCGCCCATCTCCCCTCCCCCTTAGCCTGGTCGCTTGCCATTGGTGGTTGCCATGACAACCGGCAGCTGCCAGGGCAGGCAGCCTCTACCGCAGCAGGGGTGGGGTTTCGGAGGAGGGGGCAGGAGAGGAGGAGCCAGAGGAGGTGTCTGCTGCAAGTTCCTGGCTGCTTCTGAGCTCACCCCATCCTCCGAGAGGGAGGAGGCCAAGTGGTGATGCTGCTGCTTCTGCCGCTTCGACTGCCGATACTCCGGTGAGGGCTGGGAGGGTGGTTCCTGTTAGCACCGTCGCCAACCAGAGAGGGAGGGGAAGAAATCCCGGCAGCCGCTGCTGATGTTGGCTTCGGAGGCTGCATCCGACTCGGTCTCAAGGAAAATGGATTCAGTTTGCATCTCTCCTTCCTTTCAACAGCTTCTCCGGATCTCAGCATGGTAAGTAGCAGGGAGCGAGGTTAGCTTCTTGATTTAGCTGCTATTAAATGACCTGTGTATACATTTGTGGCCTGCATTGAACAATGACTCCCTAAGAGATGAGGAGGAAGATGTGGAGACAGTGATGGGGCTGGGAGAGAGGAAGGTTGCCAGGGACAGAGAAGTAAGGAGGCATCTGCTTGTGTTTAAAAAAAAAAAATGTATATATGGTGTTCTGATTTTATCTTGAACCGGCTCAGAATGCAGACTGAGCCACTTGGTTCCTTTCCTTCCAAGCTTAGCAACAGAATCAGGGGGTGGAAAAAGAGCTCCCAAGAAATAGATGTTATTGAAAGGAATCATTTCATTTGCAGCTCTCACATATAGGGTCGGGCCTTCCTTCAAAAACACATTTGGTGCCTCCTAAGCTTGCAGGCCCAATTATAAGGTGATTTTGCTTATTTCCTTCATTGCTAAGAAAAGGTAGCCCCAGAATTTAGCCTTTTATTTCATATTCTGATGTACTCTTGCTGAGAAACCATTTGCCAAATAGAGTGTAATTTTTATTATACAGATTTGATTGTGATCACACAAATGGATGCCCTGTGGATATGCATATCATCTATACACATGTTACTTAGCATTTATGAAACATATTTATATGCAGAGTGTGCTTTGCAATGATTTTTATGGGTTTTAAATGCCCTTGCATGCTTGGAGATAATTGCTTATTTTTGAGACTATGCTTCTGGTTTGTATTATTATTCACTGACTTCATTTGGATTAATGCAAGATTTATTCTTGTTATTGTCCCTTAGTTTCACTGTGACCACTTAGGACAATCTGTATTATAGCCTGCCTTTTTCCTTTATTTTTAATTGGGGTTTGTGGGGGGTGATTTGAGAGCCCCGAATTTACACTGATGGGAAAGGGAGGTGGCTTGTGGTATTATTTTGTGTCTAGCATCTTGCAAAGTGAATGTTGAAAGACATCAGTTTTCTTGACATTCTACCCCAACCCTTTCATGTTTGTGTGTTGTGTCCCAGGAAGCACAGATGAGCTGGAAGGCGAAATGCATTCATTATATTTACTAGTGCTGCTATTTGCTGTTCATTCCTTCAGTATCCAGGCACCATTTTACAGTTCCCTCAAGTGTTGTATTATGGTTCTACTTCTTTGGGTGGTCAAGTAAGAAAGTGGGATTGTTTTGAACATCTAGGTGTTCCCAAGTAAACTAGCTATTTCCAAATTAGCCTGCTTGTACAACGAATGAAACAAGCGAATGAGCAAAGCTCAGCTTGAGAGCGTCTGATTTGTAGGCAAAATGGGGGGCTATTGTAGTTTACAAATGCTTAGTGGGATCTGCTTGACATTTTACTGTATCATAGCTTTAAGGCAGCTCAGGATACTAAAGATGCCTGAGATGAGTAGGGCACAAGGCTCCATTACCACCCAGGATAATGGATTTTGTTGAATTAAAGCCAGAAAAATCCTTGCAAGTAAAACTGTATTAGTAACATTACATTTAGCATGTGGGCTATTTTTTATCCACCTCCCTCTTCTCTAACAATATCATCGTCAGTGCAAACATTTTTTACAATGTAAAAAAACACTTGTTTTAATCCTGCATTTTATTTTACACACTGCTCGCCTTTATTTACAATTTTTACATGCATTTGAATCAGGTTTATAGTTTAATTTCTCTGGGAATAAATGTCCTGTTTTGTTTATATAGTGGAAGGCTCTTCAGCAACTTAATGGGAAGAATGGATTTAGTATGCTCATGGCATGTCATATATAGATTCACACCTCCATCAAGTCGTGCTACCTTGGGCCTTATCACAACTACGTAAAGTAGAGCAGCGAAAGAGGTGCTGGACTTGTATGTCATAACAAAAATTGTATAACACGCTGCATCCTGAATCTTTAATGATAACTTTTGACTTGTAAGAAAATTTCAGTAAGCTTTAAAAAAAATTAAGATATGTTGTAGTTGACCCTGTTTCATGCAATGAAAACAGTTATCTTGGGCATTGTTTTATTTCCTTTGTTTCGAATTTTCATTGGGATGTGGTTTTAGAGGTGAAGTTGGCACAGTTTGAGCAGAAGCAAATCACTGTAAGTCATGGACAGGGAGCTGTCAGCAGTGTTTCAGCTGTGTGGTCAGACCTCACGGGAACACATGTGTAGATTTTGATCCTACAACCTTGGATGATTATATGACCTTTGCTGAGGGCCACAGAAAAGTGAACTATTTTTAGTTTAGTGGGGTCTAGGTACAAAATAGTTCAAGAATCAATTTGATGTCAGATAATACAAAATATATGGAAGATATATACATGTTTTTATTTAAATGTGCTGTTTATTTAGCAAGCAAAGTTAATTACCTTTTTCTCAAATACTGTCTTGAAAATTCCATTCTTGTTGTAATGTTAAATATCTTGACTGGTATTTAAACTTTCATAAAGCTTGCTTTATTTGGGATAAAATACAGATTATCTAATTTCTCACTTTGGGATAGGATATTCCTGTTTCTTCAAGTGACCTTAGAACATATTTCAGTTTTACATACATACTTCAAGTTCCATTGGGGTACTTAGAAAATATCTGGAGAGTCAAAACTGTTTTCTACATTTCTCATGGGTTCATAGAAAAATTATTACAATGTTTTTCATAGTGTTGGTACCTAAAAGAAAACAAAATTTATCTTGGAAGTTTTAACTTAAATCACTCAGTTGGTTTTTACTGGAATAAGTAAACTAGGTGTATACTTGGGTGTTACTCTGAGAGGTCAGTTATAATTCCCTGTGTGTGCACATCCCAACTAATTTCTTACCACGTGAAAATGTTTTTCCAAACATGATGAATTAATTAATTGAAAAACAACTGTTTGTAGAGCTCTTATATGACTAGGACAATTTGCATATTCTAGCAATATAGAATTTCCTTAGGGGGTATATAAGCTGTACCCACATTAAATAGTTAATGATGAAAATAATATAGTTATAATTAACACCATCATTACACCTTTTCTTAATATACTCTTTTATAATTCTTAAAGTCATTTTACATTCTTTATCTGTCATCTTATACCCCCCCAGATTCTATCTTGTCAGTAAAGGTAGTGCCATAATAATTATTTTACGTAAGTGGAAAGAGGCTTGGGAGATTAGGCTTGTTCAATTTTGGGTTTGGTAAACAGTCTAAGTGGGCCCAAATTCCACACTCATGAAGCCAAATCTACCATATTAGAAAATTTAACAAATTATCTTGCTGATTTGAATTTTAAAATGTCAAATATAATAAAATCTGCTTTAAATGTAACTCATTTTATTTGAATATTTCAGAGGCCATGCTATGTACTTTGGTCACAATGAATTTCCAGATAGACTAAGTGCATTCTTTAGACATCAGCCAAAAAAAAAAAAGAAGGGTAGACACAAATTATTTTGGAGAAAACCTGGGATTCATGATATTTCATACGGCATAGAAGCATTTGTCTGGGAAAAAATTAGAACTTTGTTGGATTGATGTGGACTTATTTTATGGCTGAGTATTGTTTTTGTTTTTAATGACATACAAGGTGGGGGGAGTAACAATTTCTTGCTGTGCTGTGTGTGTGCGCTTAGTCGCTCAGTCATGTCTGACTCTTTGTGACCCCATGGACTGTAGCCCACCAGGTTCCTCTGTCCACAGGATTTTTCAGGCAAGGATACTGGAGTGTGTTGCCATCTTCCTCCTTCAGGGGATCTTCCTGACCCAGTGATCGAACCCATGTCTCCTGTGTCTCTTGCATTTCAAGTGGAATGCGATGGCTTTACCCACTGAGCCATCAAGGAAGTCCTTTTCTGTGCTTAGGACCAAATTAATCCTATAGAAATTAATTTGAAGAAACTTAGCCACACCTCCTACCTATATGTCCACCTAGCTATGTTAAGCATCTCTCAATTCCATGTTCTTAAAAATTAAAATGATTTTAAATCATAAATACATGTACATAAGTTTAACAACTTTATGATATTTTCTGGATATTCATGTTTATGCTTTTCTGAGCCATCAAAAATTAAATACTTTTCTCCAGAATATTCTAATTATTTGCTATCTCCCTTTCTTTGCTAACATTGTAGGGGCGTACTTTGTCTGTTTAGTAATTCAGTGCTGGCCAAAGAACAAAATATGCCATCTGAACTGTCATTCCACAATTGCAAAACATCCTTTATAATTAATTAGCTTGCAGTACCAGTGAGATCTATCATATTAAAGGCATTTTGCTTTAAATCAGTATTCACCAATACAGTTAAATGTCCTTTTAAAGACTTTTTTTTCCTTACATTTTAAACATAATATCCTCATTGTTAGAATAAAAAAGATAATGCAAAAATGTGTAAGAAAATCACCCATAATCTACCATCAAGAAATAATTACTGTTAGTACTTCCTTCTAGATTTTTTTCTATATGTGGCATGTAGATTTGTTTTTCTATAAACACACTCAGGTATATAATTTCATAAATGGGGCCATACTCTGAGCACTGTTTTATAATTTTTTAAATTTTATTTAAAGTGGTCATCTTTCCATGTTAATGAAATATGTCTCTAGTAAATTTTTAATCTCTGTGTGCATTTATCTTGATGACTCAAGATATTTTCCTCCATTTTGGGGTCTTCATACTTTGCTTTTAAATACAGGTAACTCCTACTTCATTTACAGCAGCTGTGCCTCAAGCATTGTTTTTCAGGAAATATGAGATCTATTATTCTGACTTGCCATTGCATCTCACAATGGATATTAAATTGACCTTGGTCTTCTTTTGTCTGCTGATAAAGAATAAGTTTTGGGCCCAAGTCAGAGAAATCCCAGTTTGAATTGCTAAGAATTTCACCAGGTGCATGCATAAACAATAAGTACAGAAACAAAAACCTCTTCCAGACTTGTGTTATTTTTCCTCAGTATGGTAGGGCATCCTATAGTCCTAACCTCTGTGACCAACTTAAATCCTTCATAAAAATCATTTAAACAGC